CTGAACAGACTGCTAAGAAATTGTTATGATATTATTCATCTAAAAAACAAATAATTTATTACACAATGGATAAATTCATGGTTAAGACAGCTGACAACAGTACTAGAATTAAGCCATTAGGAACAAATAAATGCAGACAAGTGGTGTGGTAAAGCATCACTTTTTTGTTTTTTTGTTTTTTGCTTTTTGTTTAATTTTTATTTATTTATTTTTTCTGTCTTGCAGGTGATACTTTGACACAATGCACAACATTTCACGGTTCATTTCATTGTATAATAGTTATGATAAAAATCAATCGGAGACCTACTCCCAAACAGTTAGTACATGGTTTGCAAATACAATCATCATATAATATTACTATTTACATCTTAAAATATATTTGTTGAGCAACTGAGTACGAAACATTGCAGTAATACCACTAGATACCCACATACTATGCAAATACACTTTTTTTTGTAGGTCCAACTCAGAAAAAAAGGGCAATCCAACTTTTTTTTTTTTTAAATTGATCTACTGAAGGTTTAGGAAACAGAGATAAGGGACCATTCTATAACAAGAGGCCTGTGAGAGGTACTTCATGTCTTACAACACGCATAGACAATTTCTTACGAGATGGCACACCAGTATTTTTCTCCACAAAGATTTGTGCAAAAACATTAGGTATTTAGACACACTTTCTCGCACTCTCCACTGCACTTTAAATGAGTTAGACACAACGTTTCCGACATTTTTTTTTAACATAACATAAAAAGCCAGGTGTTAAATGAAAAGCAAAAAACAAACAGTTGTTGATGGAGATGTGGAGAATTACTAAAGCCTTGCAAAAAACGTTGCCATAAACGTCATATTATGTGATAAGCATATGCTGTAGGTGAGGCGAACTGTTGTTGCTTGAGCCTAGCTTCAAAAGACTCTGTAAGCTGGGCAAACATCCTCTCTAATTTTCACAGGGCAAGCTTGACCCTGCTTGCCCTAAACAGGCATGCCTGACAGTGACAGATGAGGCAGTGTGTCGAGGTGTGGGGAGGTAGAGGTAGCAAGGGGGTGGGAGGGGTGGTAGGAGTCCCAGAGAGATATGGTTGCCAACCCCGGGAGAAACTCTGACTCACTGGCCTCGGCGTGTTGCCAGTCAGGCTGGCCACCTCTGGCTTAGGGGCAGCCTCTGTGAGTACACATTTTCACACCTGGACAAATAGCAAGACAGGCCAGGAAAAGCAGTCCACCCGTTCCTACCTCTGCCCCTACCCACCTTCTACTTTTCTGCCATCCAAGAACGCTCACCATCACCTGCCTACTGACCTCCAGTCCAATTTTTCCCCTTTAATTTTCAAGCTCTTTCTTTGCCATTTGCCAACGTTCTTCTGTCCTCAGCTGCCTGTTCCTTGTGCATTACAATGGTTTCTCAAAACGTTACTTGTTACATTATTTGTAGTTGTACTCAGCCATTATATGGTTAAAACTCACTGCATGTGTGTGTGTGAATGTATTGCTTGTCTGCCTCTGTGTGTGTTTTACAAAAATTGAGAAACAAAGAAAACGAAACGTTTACATTCTAGTTTTGACGGAAAAAAAAAATACACTGCACTCAGTAACATTTAAATATGGTGAATCATCACTGTTTGCAAGCAATATCCATCTACACATATTGAGCAACGAGAGAAGTTCTTTCTGTGGTTGTTGGTCTAAATTGTACTGTTTATGTCTTATCAGTGCTTGACAGCATTGATCACAATATACTGTGACAACAGAGACAGAATGACAGTTTTGACTTGCAACCTATAATATGTTGGTTTATAGGAACAACGTAAAAAATAACTTACATGGACATTAAATATAACTTAAAAAAGTATAACACTCTCAATAAATAGTTCTACTATTTACACCATTGTTATGAGACTCAAAATGTTGCTAAAATACCAAAAATATAGAAGCAGCAAACATTACAAGCATGAGGTACAGCAAGGGATCGTGTGATGACTACAGTAGAGAGGTGACGTCCTCATCCAATGCACGACTGTATAATTTCTCTCATGACTATCGTGGTTAGCTATGGCTTATGGGTACCTTTTCAAATATAAACAAAATAATTTTCAAGTTGACATTCAGTCACATTCTGCAGACTTTCTTGGTGATAACAATCACTTGTTTTGGTATCCAGATATCAGCTGATGATGCACATAATGGCTGAGGAGGATATTTCTAAATGATTCTAACTATGTGGAAGCAACAACAGATTACTCTTTTTTATAGAGTGAAGGAAAGGGTCCAATGACAGGTTTCAGATTCATCCCAGCTGGAATGGCTTTCCAGTAACCTCAGTGGCAAATGATGAACCACAGTACTGCATATTACTGGTATGGCGTAGTGAATGTAGGTCAGTCTCCCCCCACTGGTGACAGTTTTGTGTAAAGCAGCAGAATCTGGAGTACTAATATTACATATAATTTGATAATATAATATAAGACATTTTTACCAGGACTATATGGTATTCAATAAAGTGTTAAATGCAATCTTAAAAGTCTTTGTAAATGACTTTACAAAGACTTTCAAGAGTCCCTGTTAACGGGAATTTCTTCATTTACACGCTTCTTCAACATCTCTTGGTTTCTCTGGCACAACGTTCACCTTCGGCCTTAGATAACATATTACACAAACACCAAGGAAACTAAAGATAAATAAAATTTTAATCTAACTAGATCTTAATTACGTGATAACTATTTTTAAATGTGTACTAATGTGTATCCAGTTGTCTTGGATTTGGGGCTTCATTGGATTATGCATAAAGGGATATATGTTTCATAACGACAGCACCTCCATACTTCATTAATAAAATCAAATGCACCATATAGGTCAGATACAAGAAAGGAAAAAAACAAAACAACAGAATAGCAACACAAGGAGTCAAATGGCCAAATATCATACAGTTTGATTCAGGTCACCATTTTGACAATAGCAGCGTCTAAACATTTTTGAAATATTTACTTTTCCCCCCTTACATGACAGCTAGAAAGTGCAGTAACTGAGGTCAATAGTAGAAACACTGATTTAATATGACATTTTGTTAAAATGAAATGCATGAAAAAGGACAAAAAACCCTCCTGTCCAAGAACATATAGCAATATTTACACAATATCTTGATTTTTTTTCCTTTATATTTGGTGGAAAATAATACCTTGACTTTTTTTATATGTTCTGGTATTGACTTGTTTTATTGGTTCTATTGCGCTGACACTACAATTTAGGACCACGTATTTATGAGAATGATCTGGAATTCTATAGCAGCCTAATGTTTGTCACAGGGACTGTGCCACTGGCCCAAGTTTAATGAAATTAAATGTATATTCAAGCCATGAATATGATTTCAGCCAAATAGGAGCAGCAAACATTGGACCAATATGCTAAGCAGCCTTCATTATCAAATGTGCATGAGAATAAAACTCGTGTGTATGTGTTTGGATAGAAGAGTAATAAGATACCGTGCTATTGTAGCAGCCGTGTAGTCTGACAAAATCTAGCACAATGGGGCCAGAAAACCCAAGATTCACAATACTGAGAAGAGCTGATCAGAACAAGCAAGTGCACTTTGTACTGAAGAGAATAGTTTTAAAAATTACTTAAAGACGACACAGCCAGAAAACGTAAGGAGCTTTGATTGTGTTGTGACTGCAAATGGCGTGTTGACATATACATCCAAATGTCATTTTCATGTACAACCTTGTTGCCTGCAGAGCTAGAATACTATGGCATCCAATAGTCCTGAGGGGGAGAGAAAGAGAACCTGTTTATATGATTGCGTACATAAGCAATGTGTTGTGGGGCAGATATGGTCTTTGACCTACGCTCTCTCTCACAGACTATATCCACCCCTTCAACTCGGTACTCCTGTGTGACTGTGCTGTGCAGTACTGTGTGCTCAAGGAAGCCACAGACTACAGGAAAGCACTTACTACATTCGGAGAAGGACTGGGATGTTTTTAATTTCAGTTTAAACAGTTTGAATCGGGGCTTGAGGTAACAAAGTTCTTATCAAGCGTCGCAAGGGATGAGTTGAAACTGAAACTAAAATCATGCGAGCCCAAAGTGAGGTGTTATCGATGACATTCCTTAAGTCGTGATCAATGTATGTTGTGTTTTTCTTTTCTTTTTTTTGGGGGGGGGTTACTAGGTGAAAGACACAAGGACAATTGAGGTTCTGGATTTCTTTTAAAGTCCTTAGTGCATTTTATATGTGGTGTTGTCAACATGTGTTCTAATGCAGTCTATGTTAATGTGAGAAAATGTATTATGAGCAAACATACAAGTGTGAATGAATGCTGTAAAGAGGTACTTTAAGCAGCAAGGAAGACAAAGCTGTCTAACCCAGTTAAATGTTATTATGTGAAGATGGGCAGTAGTGAAAGCCCTAAAATGTTTTCACTATGCTTTTGGGATTTTGCTCTATACTTATGAAATCGTCTTCGGAAACTGTTTCTGTGGCTAGCTGTGGTTTGTGTGCGCCTTTATATTTTGGGTTTTTGTGAGTGTGTTGAATCTGCGACTTCCAAATTAACATGGCTCTCTTATTCCCCACCAAGATCGAAATAACCTAAAGCCTCTGATGTGCCAGTGAAGAAACACACTTTACTTATGGTGACACACAGATATAGAATATCTGACCAGCACCAACTTCTAGCCCCTCCAAAAAAAAGTTGAACAAGCTTTCAGAGTGTGTGAGGATTATTTTTAACATTTGTCTTAACTTCCTTCATATTTCCGAAACACAATCAATGCTATCCTTGACGTATGCATTTTGATATACCTTTGGTTCAATCACTTGATTGTAGAGTAAGGTCACTAAAATAGACACTAAAGCCAGCACAAAACTCAACAAAAGGCATGCTACCTAGGCTTGGTTATGTTGTTGTTGTTGTTGTTTTTGTTCTTTTTTTTGTTTTGTTTTGTTTTGTCTTTTTTTTTTCAAAAATGTCTGCTTCATGTAATTCATTTTATTTTGTGTTTTTTTTCTTGCTTTGCTTAATGTGTACTTTAATGATTTAATGTATTGCAGGGGTTACTTTCCTTTAAGCTGAAAAATGAAGGTATTATGGAGTCCCATCTTCTTTTCTGTATGTTTCGGTTGTGGAGAGATGGAGGCATTTCAGCAGGTTGGGGTTGCAGTATGGATGGATGGAGAGGTATGCCTTGTAAGCAGCATGTGCAGGAAATCGAAGGCCAAGAAGAGGATGAAGGAGAGTCTGCCTCAGCCACTTTGGCTATGTGGTGTTGGGGAAAGGGTCCTAGGTTGTTGAACAAAGGGTCCTTGCTAAGGTTGGTCACCCCAGGTAGTGGACATGCTCATCCTTTCTGTTCTCTACAGCATTGGGATCCCGACAGGAACACTCATCTCGTAAGTCACAGGACATTGGGAATGGAATCACCTGCGTAGAGAATGAGAAACTTAAATTCATATGTAATTGCCAACTTTAGAGCCCATCTATCCATTTTTTAATGCTTATGAAGTTGTAAGCTCACAAACACAAACACATGCTCTTTATCCTCAAAACAGAAGTTGTCCAAATATTCTTAGTCAAAACCTGAACCCTACCTAATCCTGAAGCTAAACTGTTACATCCTCAACGTCACTATAGTAACACGTCTTCATAACCTCAATGTACAACAACAGCTCCAAGAGAGTTTGGACGATGTGTAAAAAAAACAAAAACCCACAAAATGGAATAATTTGCAAATCTCATAAAGCAATGTTTTATTTTCAATAGAAGATAGAAAACCATTGTACCATTTTCTGCAGGAACATTTTACAACTAATTAAGTTAAATGGGAGCATCCAGTAATGTGACTCCACATAAAAACAGCATCTTAGACAGGTAGAGTTTCTCATGAATATAGAAGGGCAGTGGATCCCAAATCACACAAAACAAATATCAACTACAATGCATAATCCCAAAAAGTTGATTCTTTGCATCTGGACATAGCGTTTTTAGTGGAGAAATGTTTCATCATTCAAGTGACTTCTTCAGTCTCAGCTGACTGCAGGGTTCCCCAACCTTATAAACAGTACATTTGCACAATGACTGACACTAGCACCACTGACAAACAATGAGCTGTGAGGTTAGTCTCATAATCATAATATGTCCATTGTCATGACCGTTGATCACAACCACTGATCAAAGACGATTAGTAGCATTCACAGAGAGTTGGGCATCCCTAGCATCCAACATCAGCATGGAGGACAGGAAGCCACTCACATCACTTAGTAATGACCAGATGATGAACTATTTGAAATGTCCATATCTGGAGGATTGAGCATGCATCAAGACACATTACATAATATTATCAAAAGAATATGGAGACAAAGCTGAAGATCTGGATATCTTTGGGCCCTCAGGTTACACTACATTAAAAACTGGCATGATTCTGTTATCAGTGCATGATTTCAGGAACAGTTCCAGAAATCCTTTGTGTGCTCTGTCATTCAAAGAAGAAGCCATATTATCATTTTAAATGAACCAAAGTTCAATGCTGCTCTTTGGTCACAGCAATCAAACTTGTATTTATTTACTGAAAACATGGATGCATGCTCTGGACCATGAAGAGGAAAGGGACCATCCCACTTGATGTAACTGCTCAGTTCAAAAGCCTGCATCTCTTATGTTATGGGATACATAAGAGATGTGTAAACTGGCAGCTTGCACATCTGCAAAGATGCATCGATATTGAATGCCATATACAAGTTTTAGAGCAATATATACTCCCATATGGATGACATGTTTTTTAATCAAGGCCTATCAAACAACATGGCTTCATAGTAGAAATGTCCAGATGCTGAACTGGCCTGCCTGCAGTCCAGATCTTTCACCAACTGAAAACATTTGGCGAACCATGAAAAGAAAAATACAACAAAGAAGACCCAGGACTGTTTGAGCAGCTAGGATCCTCTATCAGACAAGAACTGGACAACATTCCTCTCCCAAATGTCCAGCAACTGGTTTCTATTTACATTTTACACAACATTCCAGCTTTTTTGAAATTGGGGTGGTAAAATATGAAAATAAGAAAAAAAAAATGTCTGAGAAGGGTAGCACCATGAAACTAATGGGCAATTACATCTAACAAGTCTTTTCATGCTAGACATTTGCAGTACTTTATGTGATGCCATCAAACAGTAGTGTCATTCTACTATGAGGTGACTTTAGGTAAGTGTTTGGTCTTTTTTTCAACATTTTCTGCTCATAGAAGACTCATGATATTAACCATACTATTACAGCAATTGATCCCCTTGTTTTTTCTGATAGTCTTATGTCAAAGTGAAATCCTGCAGGTGAACACAGAACCGGAAGATCAGTGGACATTGCCTCTGGCTTTGACGTCACTAGATAACGATGGTAATGCGTCACTAGCACCAGCTGCTGCTGACTTGTCTGCCCACCTCTTGGGGGGCCTGCTTCAGCTGATTCGGTACACAAAATGTGTCCTTCATCTGCAGGCCAAACAAGAAACACGTGTGGTCCAAGCAGTGAAAGGCAGCCGGTGAACCAAGGATGTCTGCATTTTGTCCTAGGCTTGCTATCAATGTCATTTCTTTCACGTTAGAGCAGACTGATACTTCATTTTTTGCACAATGAGTTTCAGTATACACTGTAAATGTATAGAACCTGGTCAGTGCAACCAGCAGATTCTAACAGCACGTCTCAAGACAAAGACAGCTATTAGTGAAAGCTATCTGGCTACTAGAGGATGAGTTGTTTCCAGGAGAGGATCATTGTGCTATTAACTAAATACGGAGTAGCTGCTGTATAATTACTGAGACTACTCCTATACCATTTTACAAATTACACCATGAGCTCATACTATCTAAAAAGTTGAATTTCCCATTAACTAAAAGATGCTGTTAAAAACTTAATTTGATCTACAATCACACACTGATTGATTTCCTGTCTACAACTAAACAATTTTATCAGATCTTCAAGTTTCTGATAGTTTTCATTAGATTCAGTTTAACTATAATGGAATTGTGTAGTGCAGAGGTCCAAAGCTTGGGAGGGTGAGGTAAAACTGGAAGAAAGGTGGCCTGCTGATAAGCAAACAGTCTCTAAGCTATTACAGCTTCAGCCAAAAAGGCTTAAAGATCAGTCAACCAGCTTCCAGTGGCTAGGAAAAATATGTATCCTCTGATCGCTTGGAAAGTGGTTTTTGGAGGTTGCTGGCTATCTCCAGTGAGTCAAAAAGAGGGTGCTGCACCAAAAACACCCTGTAGCATTGATTTGGCTACTGCATCTTTTGAAATGTGTTGGTTGCAGTGTTAAGGAACAGCATTTAGTTTGGAGTCAAGCATTCTAATGCGTAGCCTTTTTTCCTCAGCCACACGTTTCATTTTGCATGGAATCTGCTCATATCCAGTGTACAGTTTACATTGTACAGAATTTCATTACCACTTGATGAGTGTTTGCAGATACGACAGTAGTCTTCCTGACCAGCGAGAGCTACTGTCTAACAATAATTTGGAAACTAATGTCAACTACTTGTACTCACTAGTAGTTGGTGATTGTGCAAACTTCTGGTGACTGCAGCTACCTGCTAGAAACCGACGCATTTGCAAAGAGATTTTCTGTGTAGCGCCATTTACCAATATGCCATATACCGCTACATACCAGTTTGTGACAGTTTCACACTAGCAGCTGCCAGCAACTTGTATTATACATCTACTATACACTTTTCCACAGTGGCCAGTAGTTTCCAGGGGTCAGTGACCTGCTTCAAGGCTTGCATGACTGAAATAAGGCGTGCTAGCCTTATAATATATATATATAAAATTTGATTTCATAGTACTTTTCTAAAAAAAAATTAGAAAAGCAAAATTTGAAATTGCTTTAGATTGCAGTTAAAAGAAAATGCTTACAACCAAAATGTTATACCTTCATTGGTGCCAAATGACATAAAATAGGGGCAATAATTTTAAGAATTGGGACTTTATTGACAGCGGGTCTGTGGGGGAGCATGCTAGTCACAGAGGAGCAGTGACGCAGGTTCTCCTTTGAAATTAGGTATAAAATAAGTTGTTTATGTGTGGGGGCGGTGCTCTTAATGTCAGGGCCAGGTGGGCAGTGCCCAGACTCCTCTGAGAAAATGAGGCCTACGTGTGATGACTTTACAAGCCCAAGGCCAGACACACTTCAAAAACAGCTGTCAAATGCATGACCAGAGTTTCCTTTGTAGCATTTTGAAGCCAAGAACATGGGGTTCCTCATTCCCGTACAACTCTTTCCTAGTTGAATTACAAAAATTCTGAGTTTCACACTTCCACATTGTTTGTTTTGGAGTGTCTCGCTTGCTGTGTCTTGCTTTATTATTCCCCTTCTCTTGCAGCACAATATCTCAATACACTTCCCATTCCTTTATTTCTCCTCCAAGGGCAGTTCTGTTTATCTCTCAATCTAGAGAGTGATGGTGGGTGGCAAATTTGACATGGTTTCCTTTGACCTTGACCTCCAGGGTGGCTGCGCCAGCTGCCACATCTGGCCCTGACTTAAGGTTCTCTCAGGGTGGCTGGGAAATTAGACTGACTGACTGGCCTTGTGGGCCTGGGGGCCATCGTGCTGCCCTATGTCCCTGGGCTAGAGAAGGCCTGTGCGAGGACACCCACTGACAGCAACATGAAAGCCCTTCAGAAGAACACAGACTTTGTCAGAGCCACATCCTTCAATTTCAGGAACAGGTCGAAATAACAGAGTTCCTATTGACATGTCTGCGTTTGCAGTTTGTGCGTTTAAGCCAGCGCTTAAAGGAAAGAAGGTGGCTTTTTGGGCAAAGGGCTGGGAGAAAGGGAAATGGCTTATCTAGAGATCTAGAGATACCAAACTGTTTATTACGTAAATTACATAAATAAGATTATTAGAGGGAATTATAAAAATATATATGGCTGCTTACATGTCATTATAGATTAGAGTGTGTTAATACAGATGTTTTGCTTTCTTATTCAGTCTTTATCTAGAATTTAAGATATAAGCAAAACCTAACCAGTGGCATGTTCATGCTCCTACATTCATATATTACATTCACAGGTCTGAAGATTTCAAAGAATTGTTTGTCACAGCACCAAGAGCACTAGTGTACTGAAAAACCTAAAAATTAATTATCAGTGAAATCTTACAAGTATATGAGTCTGAGATAACCGAGGCCATTAAGAAATTAAAATTAAAAGTCACAGACTTATGCTATAAATACAAAATTGGAATGAGAGCGAGAGACAGAAAGAACAATGGGCAAAAATAAAGTTGTTACAGATTAGATATGGAAGGAAAAAGAGCCACTTAAGAACCAAAGAACACATAACTAACTTTTGGCAATTCAAATGCAAGCACTTGGCATCCGTTACCAGCCTAAACCCCTAAAACCTGTGGGGAGTGTGTCCTCCAGCTGT